ATCTTGCTTGGGGGGCAAGGCCAGCGGCGAGCAGCTGCTCAGAAAAATCCTTGGAAACATCAACAAATGGGGATTTGTTCATGGGATGTTGCTGCAAGGGCTTAAAAAATGGGTTTTAATATATGGTTTTAATGGGGAAAATATTGGATTTCACGGGAGTTAATAAGATTGCAGTGGGATGTAGTGGGACTATAAACTAACCAGCTTGATGTGGAATCCCTTTGCCCTAATACTGAACACGCCCCAGAAACCACGGCAAAAAGTACCAGTACAGTAGGGCATGAAACCACATATTTGGGACGACCGTACACTGGGGGTGGTGAATATTAAAGGGATTCAAGTGGATCATTTTTATATTTAATGGTACTAGTATATAGTTTCATTTATAATGCGATGTTTGATGGGTTATCTATTGAATTGGTAGTATCCATAACGGGATATATGGGATGACATATGCAGTACTATGCTCAGACAAACCAAAGTGGAAGCAACAGTTATCCCAAAGCCAGCAGCTTAGCAATCAACGGGATACTTGGGTGACCAGCAAATCAATTTTTATATTACTCAACAAAAATTGGATAAAAGCAAACCAAAGTCATTATACTACCCAATATAATGACTTGTAACTGAATGCTGGACCAAACATGGGGCTGCGCTCGCAAGTGACTTAGTAATGATCATATTGCTATCGGCGCCTCTTCTACCGGAGGGATTGAGCAGACCAACAACGGGATATCAATTGATGATATTGATATTGATATCATGTGATATTGATATCATTATATTTTATTATATTTTATCATATATTATATGATATTGATATCATGGGCCTCTAACATGACAATTGAAAATCCTCGTAAAATCCTCTATGAGCAGGGTTTTGAAGGGAAAATTAGCGACCTGAATGGTGAGAGTTTCCGGCACGCCATGTTTGATTACATGCCAAGGTCACCATGGTGTACCAGAGAAATCCAAGCGGAAAGGGGATTCCAATTTCATCGACAAAGTGTCAAAATCTAAGACCGAAAACCAGCAGAGTTGGTCATTGTGCTGTATGCTGAAATCCAAATTTCCGTTCATTCCCAGTTCATGAAATGATGAAATTCTGTGTGTTGTTTGTCTCTGTTGCTTATTACTCCCTTTGTAAAATATCGTAAAATTACGTACCCTCGGATAATCAAACATGGCAATGGAAAACCCACCCTTTCGTCCGTTGATTTTCCCATTCACAACTCCATTAAAAGTCCACGGATTTTCCAGCCATGTTGGATGATCCTATTCCCGGAAATTCCTCATAAAGTCCCATGATATTCCTATGAAATTTCCAGATGATCAAGTCCTAAATTTCCAGAAATTTGCAAAATTTAGGTGGCTCAAAGTCCCACCACAGCTCCCGTCGAGTGGCAAGGTGGAGATGACGAAGATTTGTCTTACCTTCGCCGGCGGATCGTCGGCACGGATCGTCGGCACGGCGCTTGGGAAGGCGTTTTTTTTAACAAACTGATAATTTGCTTGAAAAAAACAGCGATTTAAATGGATAACAGGATATTACATGGAAGATTAAAACATATATTTTAAAACTATATAATCAACTTGATACTCATAGGAACTGGCTGTGTCGGATAATGCGATATACACCCAAAAAGATCCCCAAATGAAAAATTGACTGGGGGAAATATGGGAAAATCATGATTTTGTCCTCTGGATTTGGGTGGAACCAATTTCCAAACAAAGCCATATTTACTAATGTTCCCAACCAGTCACTGATGGGATGATGGAAAACATACAAAACCCTGTGCCCTCCGGAAAAGAAAAAAATGACTTTCTTCCGACCAAGATCTGGAAGATACGGCAAGCAAGGCATCATCAACAAATACCCGGTAGAAAAAAGGCGCTCTTTAAGACAATATGATAAATAGGGTCATCTAATCATCTATAATTAATAATATCTATACAGATGACCCTAATATCATAAGTAATTTCTTGACTCCAGAGTTCATATCTCTTGAAAAGCCTACAAATATCCGTAATAATGAAGCGTCGCCAACTAACAATTTTCGGGGCTATTGAATAGTGTAAATCAATGTAAATCATTCCAAGGTTTCCCAGGTATACACAACAGTAAAGCACTGTTATTGGGGATGATGACTATATTTGTGAAAGCCCCAATAAACATCATTAAACATATATAATTAAACTAGCTAATTCTGTGGAGTACATGAGGGGCAAAAAAAAAGGCCCAACTCTTCAACAACGGTGGGACCCATGGACTCTCGACCCAGGGACAAAGAAACCATGGACCCGTTCAATGCGAAGTCGAATCCTTGGTGATGGCAGGTTTCAGACCAGGAATTGGGGGTTTTGACTGGGAAAGTCTTAGGTCATGGATTAATATGGGAATAAACCATTTAATATGAGAATAAACCATCGAAAGTCTTATACTGTTAATATGGGAATATTCCATAGAATAATATATATGGGAACATCCACCACTTATTTAAGCATCGTATTCTGTATTCCCATATTGATCCAAGATTTTTCTCAGTATCCCAAAAAACCCTCAAACAGTATAGCCACTTTCCTCTTTTGGGCTTCAAACATGAACCAAAACGCTTAGAAAAGTGTGCCAACTCAAACACTTTCACATCAATCGTCCTTCTTGTTTCATCACCTCAAGTACAAACATCATTTCAAGTACTCCCTGTACTTACAAGTACAAAAAAGTATTGAGAATCCAGTGCCAAAGACGAAGTTTCGTGGGAAAATCTGGCCAAGTCTGAAAATTGGATATACCCCCCAAAAAGATATTCCAAAAAAGGGGAAAATGAAAATCCAATGGATGGATAAATTTTGGTTCACACTATTTTCAGACAAAGTAATCTGGAGGTTCCCTGGAACAGGGGTACCCCTAGTTATCATCCATTTATAGAAATAAACCATCCAGCTATTTTTAGGTACCCCATTTGTTTCTCGCCCCATCAGTTGCTAAAGCAAAGTCCAAGGATTCTTAAACTTCGAAGCATAGGTGTGGTTCAGGTGGTCGCTCCCATCTGCGACGGATGGGAAAAAAATACGGGAATCTGCATCATGTATAATGATCATGTGGTTAAAACAATGCCGCACCATCCCCCAACACCATTTTTATGGGTGGTATAAACCAATTACCCTCTGGTGAACTAACATAGCAATGGAAAATCACCATGTTTAATGGGAAAATCCACTATTTCTATGGGCCATTTTCAATTGCAAACTGTTAGTTCACCAGAGGGTATAGTTTTTTTTGTTCAAGAATCTGTTCAAAAATCCTTCTGACATCATCTTTGAGAACTTTTGGGTTGCCAAAGCATGCTCCTTGGGTTGCAGGATCCTGCAACTCCACCATGGAAAAACTATGGGGAAACCGCGATAGATGTGTCCAAAGAGGCACCTACATCTGTTGGTAATACAATGAATATTGAGATATACAGTAATATATATATAATATATATATAATATATATATATATAATATATATATAATATATATAATATATATAATATATATATAATATATATATATATAATATATAATATATATAATATATAATATATATAATATATATAATATATATATATATATATTGTATATATATAAAGATATGTTGGCAATATGGTGGCAATCTGAATAAGGTATAACATGGTATAACCCATCATCAAGAAGTTTCATCTTGGGTGATACTTCAGCTGAAAAATCGAACCCTCCGCCTGGTGCTAGAGGCATGCTTCTGTCATGCGTCTTCACCTGCCAGGTGTCCGGAGTCCAAAGTCAAAATCCGGGATCCAAAAAACATGGGGGAAATGGGATATGTTTCATGAACCACCCGAAAATTGTGGGATTTGAAGACGGATAATACATATATATATATTATGTATATATATATATATACATATATGGATATGATTGGATCTATATAAACATATTATATATAACTATATATACATACGCATGTACATATTACATATGTATATAATTGTATATATATATATTATGGATTCAAGTTTAAATCCATGAATCCATGAACACAGCAATGAACATCGAGATGGAGGTTTCAGCCACGGGCCATCCCTATGTTTGTGGTTGGCATTCGCATAAAAGATGTGTGGGTTAAGAACCCCCCATGTTTGTGGTAGAAATATGTAGAAATCCAACACGTCTTACTTGAAATCCATGGAACAAGATGGAACAAGAAAGGTTGTCCAAGGCTTTTTTTTGCTGGTAAAACATCTGCATTTCGTTCGGTAGAAAAAATACGGCTTAAACTCCATTGCATTTCAGGCTAAGATTTCCATTTACCTCAGCTAGCAGTTCTACGACAAATTCCCAAGATTGTCCCGCAGAGCTACAACTACACTGACTACACGATCGTCAGTTCCTTCCCAATGCTCAAATTCCTGCGCAGGCCCACTGTTCCCGCGTTTCCGACAATAGTTAAACCCCAAACCCAAACCCTAGAACCCAAAAGAACAAAATCCTAACACCCTAAGCGGTAAACCCTGAATCACTACATACAGCCAGTGCTTTTGTATCTTCCGCAAACAACACTGAGACTGTTGGACAAATGTTGGGGGTTGGGTATAACATTAATTGGAAACATCATCCCAGATAGGATGAAACGGAATGGCAAGAATCAATGTCGAGCTGTATCAATATTTGAGATTTGGGCACTAGCCGAGGTGCGTAGAATAATGAACTCATCCCAAGGTAGGATAATGATGACAAGAATCAACTTCACCCTCTGGTAATCAACCATGGCTAGCTTGACAATCACCTATTACATAAAACATATTAAATAGATTTAAATAGAGGTATATAGAGGTATTAAATACCTCTATCTAAATCTATTTAATATGTTTTTTATGTAATAGGTGATTGTCAAGTATTAATGATTTTCATGGGAAAATCATCGAACTAAATGGTGGACTGCCCAGTACTGCTGGATGCACCTCGCCGTCGTCTACGGAGACCACAGCGGTGTTGGGAGTCCAATCCTTGAGCTACCGAGCTACAGTGGGGATGGGTTTCCATAAATGGGTGTACCCCAATAGCTGGATGATTTATATTGGGATATCCTGTCAAAATGGATGATTTCGGGGTACCCCCATGGATTGGAAACCTCCATGTATGTATTATTGATAATAATTGTGTATACCATATGTGCTACCAGGCTTTTCACATTTCCACGCAGCTTCATCTGGCTTCAGTACGACTTGAAGAGCAAACAAAAAAAGTAGATGCCAAGCAGAATTAGGTTTAAAACAACTACTGACTAATTGATTAGCGAAGGAACACGGCAATGAGGAAAGGCCCCCCGCACGTTATGCGCCCAACATCCGATTTCGGGTCTATTCCAGGAGGCTAAATGCAGCGCTCTACGTGCTTCACTGGAGAGTTTGCAGTCAACGGATTACTCACCGGTCAGTTTTTGGAAAGGCAAAAGAGAAAAATGGCAAAATCGGCAAACACCTTGCCCAATAGATCTTGATTAGATGAATGCCCCAATCGAAGCTCTGCAACAAGTATATAGCTCACAGCGGTTCGGGCTTTTTCTGGCCAACCTGGGACAGCTCTGGTTATCCCAGGCGCGGGGGGAACTTGAGCCAAGCATCCGACAAGACTGAGGTCGTCTCAACTTTAAGCCTCAGAAAAGTGCCACAACTGCTTCACCCCAGGGATGGTCTATGCTTTTGTCGATTCATGGTTTAGGGATAAACCAAGAGCCATACCTGGGGGTATTTTCTGCCCCAAGTAGCGGCTTTTAAGTACCGCAACCCAAAAAGACTCACAGATTTGCGGCCCGAATGCCAAGAGAGCGAAGGGCCCTGGCAAGGTCGACTTCAGAATAGAATCTCATTCCCCCCATGTATACTCTTGAAAGCGTAAAAACTGCATATGGGACCTTAAATGAATGGATCCTATCTATTATTCCCCAGTGTCGTGTTTCTAGAGATCATGAGGAGTACAAAAATATCCCCTTCGACCAAACTGGTTGTTTTATAGGTATCCCAGTAATGATTTTTATGGTTCATAATATATTATACCATCTGGTTATTTAACATAGCCATGGAAAATCACCATTTTTAATAGGTAAACCATCTATAAATGGGCCATTTCCCATGGCTATGTTAGTCATAACCAGAGGGTAATATAAGCATTCCCAATAAACAAGGTAGGTTGATCACTAGTCACCTGGTGAAAACTCGGGATGGTTTTTTGGGAGATCTCCAAAGTCTTTCTGCACTAATAATCTCATGACTTGGAATTTGGAATTCTCAAAAATCACATCAATAGAGGCATGGAAAAGTTTAGACCCATTTGTAGATGATAAATCCCGGTATTCAGATTGGTGCTTTTCCACAGCAACGGAAACTATTCCCAGTATCCAGTTACATGGCATCATCTTGGCGCCATCATCTTGGCGCATCTTTTTTGTGGTGTACTTGGGGGTGCACTTGGGGTTCTCAATGGGACCATGGTGCAAAAACCTCTGTAAGTTGGGAAATAGCCCTCTAACATCCTCTAACTATGGTGTATGTGTAACTTATGGATAGGTATCCACCTATAACTGGAACTACACCCCCCAAGTACAACCCGCTACTTGAGAAAAGAATGAACCAAATGAACATCAAGAGGGACATCAATCACATGTTATAGGCTACATTATTGGTCAAAATAGAAACAATTGGCCCCTAAACGTGGATGGCTTGAGACAAAAACATACCAAATCTTGACTTTGCTTCGAGGGGCCATGAACAAAAATCCTATCATGTAACGTATCAATAGTTTCCCGAATTGACCAATCTTAAAATCCTAAGAGAAAATGTGGGTTTCCTAAGATAGGGGTACCCCCAAATCACCCATTTATAGCTGGGATGTTCCATGAAATAAAAACACGTGTTTACCCCCGTGCGCCGAGCGACAGTACCACTTTCCTAGGGCATGGGGCAGTTTTGGATGGCTTCGGTCCAAAGATGGGCTGTACCCAAGACGTGATGAGGATATATATAGGCCAAGAAAATATGGGAAATGGGATATCATCATGTATAATCATGTATATCATATATGTATAATATATATATATATATACATGATGATATATAACCACTAGGTTCTCTGGAGACTGAATTTGTTTCAAAGGTGGAGGATAACCCAAAAGATTGACAATTCAAAGGGGACCATGATGATCATCTGCTGGAATTGTAGGTACGCCATTTTCAGAGCCGTTTGAAACACTCTATACACAATATATCATTCAGTGTCCCTCCCAAAAGATGCACAGTGTGTTCCACACACCTTCTCTATATAACCGTGGTCGTGCCAGTACGTTACTGTTCCACATGCGTATTACATCAAAAGATGGGAGATCCACACAGCCACATGAACCCCAAGTGAATCTCAAGCCAGGGCACATCGTGTCGTAGAACGTGGCCTGGCACACAGGGCTCATCCAATTCCAGACATGTCTACATTTTGAACGGTTCATGAAAGGCTTTTAGCCATCAAAAAGAGAAGTCATAGTTTGGGTGGGCTCGTCCTTCCAAACAAGAATGGAATTCAAAGTATCTATCTTGAAACGTTGTAGGGTTCCCCTACCCCAAGATCCAGATCGAAAAGGTAAACTCTTCTTGGGTGATTTATCCCAAATTGTCAATACCGGATCCCAAGAAACCACCATGAACCTATCGATAGAATATGACCATAAATTAAACGTACTTGAAATCACATCAGATTCATATGCTTATGCTATATATGGGTTTGCCTGAAAACATGGTAAATACTTCAAAAAAACATGGCTTGTCAATGTTTATCATTGCTCATCAGCATGTATTTTCTCATAAATAGACGCCATCTTTTAAGCATTTCGCTGAGGATAATGCGAGTAATTACCCTCCGGTAAGCTCACAGTTGGCTACGGAAGCCATTGCCCATTTAGTCTGTTTTAATCCGTTTTAGTGATTTTAACCAAGGCGGTTTGAATATTACACAGCCCCACTTAGAATATTCTGGAAACATTAGCAGTTGGAATATTCCAAAGTCGGATGAATCTATTCGACGCACATGGATATTTTCCCAAAAATATCCAAAAATACCATTACCCTCTGGTGAACTAACATAGCAATGGAAAATCACCATTTTTGATGGGAAAATCCACTATTTCTATGGCCATGTTCCATTGCTATGTTAGTTCACCAGGGGGTACATCAGCGGTGGGTTACGCCTCGTCTTTGCTCGGCCGCCAAACAAAGTCCATCTGATGCCTGGGAGATATGCAGCGCGCAAGATGTTTTTGGGGATATGTTTTTTCGACAGAACATGAGGAGATCATGGAATAGAATAATGGTTTAATGATGTAATATATGGTAATATAATGGTTTAATAGTGGTTTAATAGAATATATAGTGGCCAACAAACTATGGGATTTTTTTATTGGATGTACTAGGATATAGTCTAATGATGTTTAATGGGTGTTAAAATAGCGAAATATGGTGAGATAATGGGAGATAATGAAGTGATAATGGGAGAAATATCCGATATGATATCTCGAGACCTCTGAGTTTATCTCAAAAATGAGGGATACATGGGGGATACCTCGAAATGGCAAATCTAATTGGAAAAAGTGATTACTAATCAAGCATGAACTATAACTGCATTGGAACAATAAGCTATCATCACTGTCACGATAGCAAGCATTTGAAATGATCATCCTGGTGTTTTACACGAAAAAGTCCAACATGTTGCGACTGTTTGAACATTACTTTCACGATCCAACACTCCTTGGTAGTATGACCCCTTATCAGTTAATCTCAATACATATATATATATAGTGCAAGTGCAAGTCTATTGATGTCAATTGGTATCCCATAAAAGGTGGTTGAATAACCGACTCTATAAGTTTTATAAAATGTGAACAATTATATATATATGTATATATATATATCTAAGCAAAACCTCCTCAAACCTAAGGAGCAACTGACTCAAAGTTCCTCTTGCATTGCAAACCATCAAAATATAACATATACCATATTAAAATATACTAAAATATTTAATATAATATATTAAATTACTATTAATCAACATATCTCAAAATGCTGCCCGAGGCACAAGCTAATGACATGACGATCAAAGGGAAAATCTCGCACCCAGTAGCGCTTGTAGCCGCGCCTCAGGTTAGGAAGTGCTGATTTTAGGAGAGGAATCTCGGTTCAAAGATGAAACATGCTGGTTTCTGTTCACATCATGAGGGGCCCCAACTTATCATCCACGTTGTTGCTCATGTAATTCAGGGAAACCCAATGGCGCAGCCCAAATCTAGGTGATCACAAACTTCGACCATCAAATTTCACTTGTCAGACCCCCTAAAAAACCAAGGTGCAAGACGAAGATAGAGGTACCTCTCCAGAAGATGCTATTCCTGGTCCTTGGAGAAAAATGGTTTCGTTCCAAGTTACCCCAGTCAGTTAGCCCTGGGATTTCTTGATACTTTTGGGATGCACCAGATTTTTTCAACTGGATATGATATATTTGGGTCTGCAAATAGGTGTTTCCAATTGCATATATATATATATATATCCCAATCAATATGGTTTTATGGATATATAATTTTATATAAGGTGATATATGACAACCATCGTTGGTCTCCAAAATCCTCGTTGGATCATTGGAGAATACGATGCTCTCCATGGCCTCGATGGTCTCGTAAGTCATGGACTCGGAATGCCATGGACGGTAAACTAACATAGCTATGGACATTGACCATTGTTTATAGCTAAACCAGCTATATAAGGCTATAAATGTTGGTTACCAGAGGGTAAATCATCTTGGCTTCATAGATCGAAATCCCAGTGTCATGAAATTCTGGTTCCAACACATCGCTATCCAATCAGCTTAAGCCAGCACAGCCAATTTCAAACTGACGGAGTGATAATATGGTCATGTTGGTATTTCAAGAGGAATATCATGGAATGTCCAAATAGCCACCATAGGATTTTACATGATTTCACTCACCAACTGATGTGACATGACTGGCTCATATCACAACACTTATATGTTTTGCAAGTGGCTTGGTCCATAGATTCTCCGTGGTTTTCTGTTGCGCCTACCTACTAACCCTAGCTTCCCAGACCTCACCCACGGTTCCGATTCCGACCAAAGAAATTTCCCCAACTGTTGGGTAAGACTCGTCTTCACATGTTGAATGACTGAAACCAAATTCAACTCATTTCTTTACCTGATTTGAGCATTAGGGTGGAAACCCGGGTACCCCATTCTTCACAGCAAAATAGTTGGTACTTGTATAGCTGAATGGTCATCCGGCTTCATGTCATAGCTTGTGACTCGTTTTGATCCATCCCAACATCTAACTAGAATCGAATCAGCTTCCATCAAGTTAAATGTATAAAAACATCAATTAAATGTATGTTGTATATATATATATAATATATACACACAATTATACATACGTATATTAAACCATATATTAACAATAACAGATACCATGTCCATTTCTATCCACACAACATCCAACCAGTTACCCTCTGGTAATTTGTTACATAGCTATTGAAAATGGCCCAGTCGAAATAGTGGTTATTTTCCCATTAAAAATGGTGATTTTCCATAGTTTTTTGTTAACGTTTACCAGAGGGTAAGTTTTCATCGATCGGCCCTTAAAAGCCGATCGGGCGTCGAGTTGGGAGAGCCGCATTGCGCGCAGCTCTCGTTGTTCTTCGTGGACTCCAAGTCCTCTGTCTGTCGAATGTCCATGGATCCCTTAACAGTGGCTAAACAATGAAAGGAACGAACAGTATCTGTGGCTGATATAGTGGTTTATAGTGGTTTATAGTGGTTTATAGTGGTTAATATAATTTACTGATGGCTAATTGATCTGTGGCTAAAATCTGACAATGAAAGTAGTGGTGGACTTTCTGCACATATTTCTCCATCTGATAGACTTATATTTCATACTATGTAAGAGATGTATAAATATTAACTAATTAGTTTTATATTACCCTCTGGTTATTTAACATAGCCATGGAACATGGTCCATTTATAGATGGTTTACCTATTAAAAAATGGAAATCCCATTGCTATGTTAAATAACCAGAGGTTACTTATTAAGACCATGCATATTGATAGTTGGTCGCCAATCCGAAATCCATTCGCCAGAAGCCCTGGTGAAAACTGGGACCCAAAAAAAAAAACGATCCTTCCAGACCCGGCTCTCGAGCACATCGACTTCGATGCCTGCGGCATTTTGGATGACAGTCGGTGCTCGCACTTTTACCTACTGATAATTTATATGATAGTTTGCTATGGCAAAAAAAGAGTCTTTCTAGGCAAATCATTTATAATTGGGACATGTTCCATAGCTATGTTGAGCAAGATAAAGAAGATTGTGAAAAATAGAACTGTCAAGTGACTAGTGACACATCATGGTCAAAAAAAAGTCATGTTGCAGTGATTCCATAGAGCATCAATGATGGTGTTGTCGGCCAGCAACCAATGACCTTAAGAAGTTACACGTGGAGAACATGATCTAAACAATATATGCTAAACAGCGGTCGTAAAGGACATCCTGCATAGCCTGGAAAGTAACTATATAATTTGAAACTGGATTCTTTGTGGCAGTTCTAAGGTTTCCGGGCTTGGGTTATCATAATGCCCCATAAATTATGTAGTTATCATGTTCCCCATAGTAGGGAAACCATTTTAGAACCAACCCATGTTTACCTTCTTTAAACACATGGTATTCCACTAACATATAATATACAAGTATCAACATGATTCTTCCCAGCAACTATATTGATATGGTTATCCCAAATATAATAATATATATATATATTATTAAAATATCATATGATATGATATCTGCATGTGTATATACATATACATATACATATATATATATACATATCCCATGATTGAACAATATTTAACATATATCATTAACTTGTCTCTGTGGCAGGTCCATTCTATTTTATGGTCTTTCCATGGTCCCAATTCACCTGGCACGCGAATGCCAGGCACGCCGCGATAGCTGATCTCCGTGTCGTTCTTCGGGGAAAAGGTGCGGAAGGCCCATTGGCACACCATGCGCACCTGCCGAGACAGCTTTGTTTGTTGAAAATTGACCGTCTGGAAAAGGGCTGATGTTCCATGGCCATGTTGAATTTGTCGTAGCAACCTCCAAAAGTATCCAAAAGTAATGATGAACTATGATGAAATATGTATGACATAGAATCGAACTATCCTCCTGGCACACGTTTCGACATTTTTTGGGGGATGGCTATAGATGCTATAGAATGGGTTCGTCAGATAAAATCCATACTTATTTTGACGAAGATTTATCAACATTGGCCATTTTAGGGTCTAGATTTATAAAATGGCTAGATCCAAAAGCGTCTAAAACACACACTTCTAGATTTGTGCGTTTGCACATGAGTGGAGAGTGGAATGCTACCTGCAAGAGAATATAAAGCTGCAATGGAAGCTGCAATGCAAGTTTTTTTTTCTGCAAGTCGATTTGGTCAATTTCTACAATTCGAGTTGTTCCATCTTGTTCCAATGTCTTAGCAGCTTAGCATTTCGGCAACTCCGGGTGCAGATATGGCACCACGATCTTTCCTTCGTTGGTCAATTTCGAATCGCAGGTCTTGTGGAGGCAGAGACGGCCGCCCACACGGCCGACTCGTTGCATTGGGATCAGCCCCGCGGCCACTTCCGTGACGTCGGTGCCGGTGAAGTTGGTCAGCTGCCGGTAGAACGTTTCACCGTTGTAGGGCCTCGTACGGATCAAATGGTCGACCCAAGCAGTCCCAAAATCACCGGGCCGAATGAGGTACTTGTAAAGATTGCCAAAAATAGTTGCAGCTGTGCGATCAGCAAGGAACAGGTAATCAACAAGTCCAGGATGAACATCCAGTCTCATAGAGGCGGGCTCGCAGTCCAAGGAAAACACTTGGCCTCCGGCTGAATGATGACGCCCTCCAGTGATTTGCAACATCAAATCCAAATCGAAGTCCTTCAACCAGTAAGCATCATCGCGAATGAACATGACGTACGAATACTGAAATCCTGCGCCTTTCTTCTTTTCCTGTATCTCAACTTGTTGCCACAACATGTTGATTTCTTTGTGCACGTGGACAAAATTGCGACGAGCAATTGACCCACGTTTTTTCCCACTCCACAGTGGGGCAACCGAATCGTTTCCACTGATGAATGACAGATCGTCCGGGCTGGTGTCGTAGTGGTTGAACACCTTCGAAGACCCAACATCTGCACCAAACGTCTTGAGTTTTTGAGCTATGGTGGCATCAATATCTTGTCGTTTGACCTCCGACCAAGTAGGATCTGGTTCAAATCTTGCTGCCTTCTTCTTCCATGTGGCGTTGTCACCAAGGTTGCCATCGCACAAGGAGTAAAAATAATCTACCTTCCAACCTGCTTTGCCTAGAGGTGCAATCAAATGTTCAGCTGTGGAATCCAGGTGATATCTTGCCACAGTCCCTGCCATTAAAATAGCGATTGTCTGTGAATCTGATGTGGCAAGGTCCTCGGTAATACAAAACCGGATGCCAGTACAGTAGTGATGACACAGTGACACAGCCGTGACCAAACATGCTGAAAAACCAACCCATGCCAAAATTTAAAACAAACGTCAACACAAATTATTATTCAAAAACAATGCAAAAACATGTTTGTATCGAAAAAGATTCCTCACTGACACGCACGGCATGGCTTTGTAACATCCACGTGTGGTCGTAGTCACAGTCTGCCGATGCAAACAGAGCCAGGCACTCCACATCCCCGCCCCACATCATGATCATCATGAGCAAATAAATGCAAACGTTTTTCGGCCCAAATCTCAATACATCATACATCAATTCCCAAATGCAAGTCATTTTGGGCAATTGAAGGGCCTGAAACGTCACAGTCAGCTGAGCATGGTCGAGGAAATGGCGCAATCCTTCAATGAATGATTCTTTCAATATCGAACTGGAGCAAAAACGCCAGCGTCTGTAAATTCTGATTTCCACCGCGTAACAATTCAGATGGACATTCCAAACTAAAAAATGGACCTTGAAAAAAATAAAAGTCAAACATAGAGGAGAGCGACGTGACCGAACCTTATTTTTCATGATATCTATTATTTTTAAACAGGGGTATCCCTCTTGCCCGTCTCATTGCGCAGCGCATCTCATTTTTTCGACATCCAAACTTAACCCTCCAACCAAGACTTACATTCCTTATGTCCTTATGTGGAAAAACTGTTATCTACATGTGTCACAAGACAGGATTGTGCGTGTAGTGTCGGATGCGCAGGGTCTCAAACCACGCACCCCACCTCAACTCATGCTGTTGGGTTTCAGTTCAATCATGTCCAATGCCATATGTTTCAGCAATTGTCGTCCAAATGTATTCCTGAAAGTGGGAAAATGTCACAAACAATCGGCGCAAGAGTGTGCTGCAAGACATTGTGTTCACATTGGTAGATAATAAGTCTCATCCAACTGTTGCCAACCATCCACTGCTGGATAAGCCACTACCGCATGGAGGGCGCCCAGGGCACTAAATTCAGGGCCAAACTCCAGTTTGACCCGTAAAATTGGGAAAGAGGTCGCACCAAATTATCAGATATCCGCTACACAAATGAAAGAACCGGAAGACCCCACAATTCAATTTCTTCAAATAACTACAAACAGGGGTTGACGTGAAACTGGGAAAGCAGGAAAGACAAAGGAGACGGTGGAGGATCGATTGCTTTAAAGAGTTATATGTGAAGGTGTTTTGTGTGTGTGAAAGACTTGTGTGCAAGAGTTGACGAAGTTGCATGTGAAAGAATTGTGTGAAAGTGCTGCATGTGAAAGGGATGTGTGTGTGTGAAACATCTGAAGAGATGTAAAACTTCTAACCGTTGTTTTATGATTTTTTATGTTTTGCACAATGGATTGAAACTTCCAGCAGGGGGACACAGCATTTCACTGGGAACGCGTCCAATGAAGCTACCAGTGAAATGGGATATCCAGCTTGGCCAGCTGGACGTACCTGCATCAGTTTTATTTCCTCGTGATGGGACGTGGCTAACCCAAAAACCACCAAGCCGTTAGGAAGACCACGATTTGGTTTAGTTGGAATGAGCTGCATCAGAACGATTTGAATCATCTAGCAAGGACATAGAAAGATTTCCTTTGCACAGTTTCTCACTTCTGGTCATCCAACCACTCCTGTCAGGTTTAATTGAAGTGTTTTTGCACGTAAGATGCATTCCACATCAGAATTCGCAAAGATGTTTCTGAGCAAGTGTGTGATTCATGCTGGATTCGTCAAGCTGGCATGAACCCTTCGGGGAATGCTTGTTTAAGCAAAGAATTGACACTTTAAAACGACCTCTGAATTTACACTTTTGAATTAGTAATTCGTCTAAGTAAAGTAAGTTGCCGGCCATTTTTCGATTTTCACCCTGTCGAAGTCGTTTGGTTGAACAACTGCCTTGGCATAAAAATTCATAAAATGGCTAGACAAAAAAAAACAACGTGGAGCTGCACACCCAAGTCTGGGAGCAGCAAAAAGAGCAAAACAATGGAAATGTAAGCCATTCACAATACCCCTATCCCATATCATTATTCTAGTTGGTAATGTTTTCCCAATCCTATGGGGTGATCATAATCCTCAATAAAGTCAGTAGTACAGTATCTGTATATATATATGTATACATATATTGTATATTATATAGTATATATTATATATTATATATATTATTTTATATATATTATATTATATTATGTATATGTATATTTTATATTATATATTATATATGATTACGTTATTTTATATCATATTATATTATATTATATTACATTAAATTACTTTATATATTATATTATATTATATTATAATATATTATATTATATTATATATTATATATTATACATTATATATTATATATTAAATATTATGTATTATATACTATATATTATATATTGTGTATTATATATTATATATTATATATTATATATTAAATATTATATATTATATATTATTATGTTATGTTATATCATATTATATTATATTATCTTATATTATATATTATATTATATATTATATCATAATTATATTATATTATATTATAATTATATTATATTATAATTATATTATATTATATTATAATATATTATATTATATAATATGCATTATGTATTATATATTATATATTATATTAAAAATATTTTATATTATATATTATATATTATATATTATATATTATTATGCTATGTTATATCATATTATATTATATTATATATTATATGATATTATATATTATATTATATATTATATTATAATTATATTATACTATATTATATTATATTATATTACATTATATTTTATATATTATATTATATTATATTACATTATATTATATTATAATATCTTATATTACATTATATATTATATATTATATATTATGTATTATGTATTGTGTATTATATATTATATATTATATATTATATATTATATATTATTATGTTATGTTATATCATATTATATTATATTATATATTATATTATATATAATATTTATTATATATTATATTATATTATATATTATATATTATATATTATATATTATATATTATATATTATATATTATATATTATATATTATATACAGTATATAAGTCCCTGTACATTAAGCCATCAGGGTCTGATTTGGGGCTCCACAGCCGAGATCACCTGAAACATCCCGGTCTTTGGTTCAACCTGAAGGATGCCTGGCGCAGGCAGCTTTTTTTGGCATCATTTCTGGGCTCCCCCAGTTTGTAATGGGATGGGATAATCATCTTTTTAATGGGATGGGATTATATACCAGTAATGGTGGTTATAATGCCAATAATAGTGGTTATATATGGTTATATGATGGGATATATATACATTTCTGGTTGGTGGTTGACCTACCCCTCTGAAAAATGATATAAATGATGGAGTGAGTAACAGTTGGGATGATGACATCCCATATAGTACGGAAAATAAAAGATGTTCCAAAGCACCAACCAGTTTATGTTGAAACGTCTGAAACCTTAGTATGATTCAAATTGGTACAATATGTGTCAATTACCGTTCTTTTATGATTCACAACGTTATGGTAATACTCCTATGCTGTAAATTCTAGGTTTCGATTCCCATTCTTTCCAGCTCCGCTCCATGGATCAAGATATCTTGTTGGTGAGTGATATCGCGACCGCATTCAATTCCCCGCTAACCAACAAATCTAAATCCGGGTTTTGGTTTAAATCTTGTTTTAGTTCATTAGTTCATTGCTTTTAAATCCCCACAAAATGGATTATCATTGGGGATTTATCCCATTAGTTATCCCATTTTAGTTGGTTAGTTGCATCGAAAAAAAAAACAATAATGGAAACTAATCTTCCAACCCCTATCTGGCAGGGTCATTAAATTAGTGATCTATTGGTTAAATCACATAGTTTGGATATCTTGATATGGAAATGTCAAAATCTGGTTGCTTAAATCCCCAATTTTATCCCATTTTAGTTTGTTATCCGATGATAGTTATCCCATTTTTCATTGGATGATCCCATTTTCACTAATGAAAAATGGGATAACTAATGGGGATTGATTAACTAAAATGGGGTAACTAATGGGGATAATAGCAACATTCATTTTATCCCATGTGATCCCATTTTCGGTGAGTGAAATGGCTATGGATCAATACCTATACAGCCTATACATACCATTTTTAGTGGGATGAACATCCATTTACCAGCTATTTTGGGGTTCACCAGGGGTATAAGGTTTTGACCCATCCCCAAATCCCCACCGTTTAGCGCCCTGAGTGAACTCCGAGCCGCTGATGCGCGCGTGGCAGAAGACCCGATCCCTCGAAGAGGCGATCAACGACGCCAGGTCGTCCAGCAAGGGTCCATGGCCCCTGGAGAGCTGGGAGAAATGCCGGGAAATCGCATGGTTTAGTAGTGATGAAATGGTGATTCAATGAAGTTCTTATATGAACTTATATGTTGTTGTGGTGATTTTTCAGAATTTTAGCGTGATTTCATGGGGGTTAATGGGATTTAATTGCTAATTTAATGGGATCTATGTCCAATTTCGTGGGATTTAATGGGATCTGGTGGCTTTGCGATAGAATCGCCCGTTGTTCTCTGGGGAATATGGATATCATGGGATGTAAATATTACAATTATGTGGATTATTTACAATCATTAAATACCCTCCAGTAAACTAACAGTTTGCTATTGAAAATTGCCCATAGAAATCGTTGATTTACCAATGAAAAATGGTGATTTTCCCATCAGTTATGTAAACGTTTACCAGAGGGTATCCATAGGGATATAAGTAGTAATTACAGAATTCATAGATTTGGGAGAGTTACCCTTCATTGCCATCAAACGTGGCTGGGAAACTCCCCATAAATTGTGTTTTTTGAATGGAAATTCCTCTATGAAATGATGGATTGTCCGACTTTTCCATTGCCCTAGTTAGCGAAGTTGGGGGGGCACCACCTCGTAGACTTGGGAGATTTTAATATGGGAATATGATGTGGATTTCATGAGATACAAAAGCTATAGTAGAATATATATATATATATACCTACACTGGAATATGTATATATATATATACGTATATATACAGTAACCTATGATCGGATACATATACATGTATATATATAATAATGGTATATAATGAGATATAATGGGATATATAATATATACATATAACCTACTATAATGGTATATGATTGTAATATCATTACAATTACGGCGATTAAATTGATAACGGGAATACTACAGTAACAAAACATGTATATTATCCCAATCATGCGAGGAATATTTACTACAACGGACAAATTATGAGAATATTCAGGGGATATTATGGAGATACAATTGGATATATAACCTATAATGGGATAAAAACCTATTGTAGAATGGGATATACGACCTATTGCAATGATTGGATATATAACCTACTATCCTGGTATACACGAGGATATATCATGGGATTTATAACGGGGATCATGGAAATCACATGTATATATATATTATATTATATATATTATATATATTATATATATTATATATATTATATATTATATATATATTATATATATATATTATATATATATATTATATATATATTATATATATTATATATATTATATATATAGTTATTATGTTTTATCATGGGAATGATACGGTCATTGAATGGCCGGGGATTAATGGTGATATATGGAAAGTGAATGAACATGATAGAATTTGGAGAAATTTGTGGTTGATGAGAAATCGACATCTACAATGATTGTAGTTACATAGACCAGCAAGATAGAAAGTTTGTTTGTTTCCTTTACTTTAGAAATGGATCTGATTTGTTTATCTGTTGGGGCTTGCTATAGATTGATAAAGATGTGTCTTACATGTGTTTGTCTTCCTTAACCAATTCTGGGACAGGATGAACTACAGATACAACTGACGGAAAACCAATCATGTGACACGGATATAATGTTGGATATGGGGAAATGCATGATGCTGATATAAAGTATTTGTAGCAACCCCCAAGATAGAATTCTGAAATATGGCTGCGGCATACAGTATATAATATTATATAATACAATATCCCAAATCCCACCAATTATGATATCCAAAAGACATCAATAGATTATTCTTTCAGATAGAACAATACTCAAAGGGATAAAGAAGTAAAATCCTGCGAAGGGATAGAGAAGTAAAATCCTGCAAACATAGTGATATGTTAAATGTTCTCTGAAAATAACATCACCAAAATCTCATCGTCAGATACAGTAAGTTATCCTCAGATGTTCCTATACATGTTCACGGCTTTCCATGGGCATCTGCTATTTTCAAACACGCTCATGTGGTTGGGCCCGAAGGCTGGTAGTTACATACTTTTTTGGGGGCGAACTCAGAGAACTTGACGTATTCTTTGGGAGGTTCTGGATGGCTCAAATGAGAACATATCAGCAACAAGGGCTCTTTTTCAGGGGATCATCGCTAATAATCTGTGAAAATTTGCTACCCCATTCTGTTCCCGTATTGTCCCGTATTGAAAATTGCCATCGATTGGGGGTTCAATAACTATATCTCCCATTTCCATCCATTTCCACACTTACCCAACTAACATATCAAGCTGGTGAGTTACATCCAATTAATTCACAATCAATTCCCATAAAACCACATTAACTCCTGTGAAATCCCCATGAAAACCCCATGAAAATCAGCAAAAATCACCATAAATCGTGAAAACCACCGAATCATAGCTACCACTGGTAATACCCAGGTTTCCCCAGCTCCGGTCTTGAGCGAACGAAGCATGCCAGGGAACTGGTGCCAGGTGTGAAGGTGTTCCATGCCTTGGCTGGTGAACATGTTTTTGTTGTTTTAGTGGTTAAAATGCTTAAAAGATAGTTTTAGTGGTTTTATTGGGATGGATAATGGACCAATAGATGTTTTTTTACATTGTTTTATGAAGCTTGGAGTCTGATCGCATTGGGGTTGAACGGTTGAACATCATGACTTGTCATGAACCATGTATCGTACGGTTGATATGGTTGATGATGTGGTGAGTTGATACTGTGGGTGGTAACTATTAGGTAATGTAATTATGATGGGATGCTTACCATCTACCAACTGGTGCAAAATATTCTTCTATCCACAATACTTTATTGGGATGTATAACAGTGTTTTATAAATCATATGGGTTATTGTCTCTAAAAATAGCTAGTGTTTTGGTATATCCAATCCCATAAACCTGCCATTTGGGGATGATTAATACCACCATATGTATATATATATATAATATACATATATTAATGTATATGTATATATATATATATATAGTGACATTAAGATTAATATGTATATATATATATATGTATACCACCCACAAAAATGCTGATTTGGGAAATGGTTTATTAGCATTGGGTTTACCCCATTATATTATATAGCTTACTGTCACCGCACCGTTGTTGGGAATCCAAACATACCGAATTATATTGAATTGGTGGATTGATGACCATCCCCTTCTATGGAGAAATATAAATCATGTTAATCATGTTTTGACCATGGCACATATGCTCAATCTGTATGGAATATTTACCTACAAATATTCGGATCATGTTGGGGAATAATGTTGGTGAATGAGAGCAAGAGTTCCATAGATATCATAGATGGAGCATATGAGATTGAAGATGTTCCACTTTTTCCTTTTCCAGCAATTTGGATCACTTTTGCAGGGATCAGGGATCCCCCAAATATATCCAAATATTCCTAATTAGTTAGCCACGTTGTGTGTTCATACTAGGTTGACATTGCCGTCAATGACCCACAAAAGTCATACCGCTTAACTCACCATTTCAGGATCCGAAAACAATCCATGTTCTTTTGGGGTTTTCATCATTTTGGTCACAAACAGAATTGCACTTTCTGAGCTGACCACATACCAAATCTCGCAAAAATATCCCAGGAGCTATATAATACATCCGAACATATTAGAATTAGAACGGATCAAACGATTCAAAAGTTTGATTTCGACAACTATGCATAGATTTACCCATGAGATGAAGGCCACCCAGTATCTCCCCATTAAGGTGCCATTCATATCCCATCATGGTGATACGGTATTTCTTAGGTATTCCCGAAATCTACCTCCACACCTCCTTTCTGGGGGGTGCATCCCACTTAGTAAATTAAGCTTATACCCCCAGTATCCCCCAGTTATACATGGAATATATACATGGGATCATATTTATATAATATATAAATTATGGACTTATATAGATTATATTGGATTATAAACCACGGATCCCAAGTGGGGCCAGATCGATCCGTTGAAGTTCCTTTCTTGTTCCGTCGCCCAGCCACACTGACACCGATAATCGTCGCAGCGTTGGTTCGTTTCGTCGCCCAGCTGTTGATTCGTCGGGCTCATCGGACTGTTCACATCCTAGCGAGGTGCCCTCGCCGACTACCCTCTGGTAAACTTAACATAGCTATTGAAAATGGCCATTTATAGTGGATTTACCCATTAAAAATGGTGATTTTCAATAGCTATGTTAGTTCACCAGAGGGTATTTCATGGTCATAACCCCATTTAAGGGTGGCTCTGTATGTTTGGAAATATTTGTGTAGGATAAATAATATGTTATCTGAATATTAGAAACACATCCTTTTTTGAAATAATGGGTGAATAATCATGGATGGTGATGTGATATACCCATACTCCGAAATGATCAAAAATCGATGAACATGAAAAGCAGCTTTAGATAGATTTCGAGCATTGCACCAAAGTGCACCACTGGATTTTAGTACCCCATTTCTGCATAATTGCCCATTTCTGGAGAACCCCCCCCGTCCAATACCATCCTCGCTGTCGTTGGGCTGCAGCAGGGAAGAGTAGGTCGGCAAGCGCAGCTTGGAGGCCGACATTGTGACAGACGAGTCAACCACTCAGATGAAGTGGTGAAACTATGTGAAATTTGCAGGTCGGAATGTTGACTTCTCCCCAGGTGGATCTGTTCGAACTGTTTGGCTGGCAGTATTCAAAACACACAAGGCCCCCGGGTAAATCAACATAGATCCGGCAAATCCGCCACGCTCCTGGGAAAACCCTGGATTTTCCATAGCTGCAAAATCTATTCCGTACGTCTCTGGTAAAAAAAACACCTTTGGATGTTTTGATATGTTTGGGCTTAAAATTGTGTGCTATCATGCGCATGGACGGAGACCACCGAGACTTTTTGTATGTCTCAGGGCTGGCTGGAAAAGCCGCGCTGGAAGCGAGGACTTCCCATCGAGGTTCCCACCCATTGGGCCATGGTATACCTACCCCCCTGAAAAATGATGGAGTGAAAGTCAGATTGGATCATCATCCCAATTCTTGGGGAAAATAAAATTCATGTTCCAAACCACCAACCAGTAGTGTATGTGTATACACATAGTACATATAATTACCCTCTAGTTTTTTAACATATATGGAAGCCATGGGCGCCATGGGCCATCGATATTATTGGAATGATGGGAATTACCCGTTGAAAATGGTGGATTCTCCATAGCAACGTTAAATAACCAGAGGGTATACATATATATATAATACATATATATATATAATATGTATATATATATATATATTATTACTGTATTACCTTTCCAGGCCACAAAGTCTTTGGACACTGCCCACTTAGCCTTCCAAAATGAGAGCTTTCAGAAACAGCCGTTGAAACTATCGCCCCGCGGGCATACCATCCCATAGTGGTTAACAAATGGATATCCCCATGATTGGTTATCATAATCCAAGAAAAACCAGTAAGATCCAGTTAGTATGTAGCCCACCAAAAAAAAAACAACAATCAACAGGGGTTAGTATCTGTGGTTCAGCATTTTGACACATGTCCACGGACGTCCAAATGGGTGTTTCCCAGAACCCCTTTTTTGAGAAACCGTCAGAATTTACCAACTCATTTGAAGTACTGTAACAACAATGCTTTCTGGACAAATAAGTGCGTGTAAAATCATGTGTATATATATATATAGCTTACATAATCTTACAGTACATACACATGCCTGTTTTGCTTGCACGGTTCCAAATGGATATCAATTCCTCCCAATTTAACTACCGTTGCTCATGCCCCGCTTCTCTTCCCATGTGTGTTGGTTAAATCTCCATAAGTCATGCAACACCATCCGGATGAACTATGTTTGGTCAGCCATTGTGAACCCGCCATGTTTTTTGAAACAAATCCCCAAGCTTCGTAAGGCATATAGCAGCCTCCAGTAAACTAACATAGCTCTGGCAAATGGCCCATTTAGGGGTTTCCACAAATGGGGGTCCCCCAAAATGGATGTTGTAGAATGGAAAATCCGCTTAAAATGGATGATTTGGGGGAACCCCCATTCTAAGAAACCTCCATTTATACTTATTGAATATGGTGATTTCCCATAGCTAAGCTGGTTTGCCAAAGGCTAACCATCATTGGCACCTGCCTGTCCCCCCACCATGGGCCACCCCAACGTTGGGAGACGTTAGCCTGAAGGCATCGCACCTACAGCGGATGGGGGAAGAAAAATTGCTGGAACTATGGGAGTTTAACATTGTTATAACATAGAGTATCATAGAGTGCATGTGTATAACTGGTTGGTGGTTTCAACCTACCCCTCTGAAAAATATGAGTTCGTCAGTTGGGATGATGAAATTCCCAATATATTGAGAAATAATACATGTTCCAAACCACCAACCAGATAACTATGGTATGGGCGGATTCCAAAATTATGGTACCATGTTTGTTGCGATATCCCCCCCGTAAATAATGGTGAACATTGGCTAAGTATGGTCGAGTATAACCGCCATTAACCACCTATAACTGGAACTGCGCACCAAGTACCACCCTGGCTGCAAGGGTTTTGATTGGGGACTATTGGGGCATATTGGGTATGTACAAGCCATTCACAGGGGCTTGATCACAAGCCTTTCCGGTGTAAGAGAGTCGAAACAGAACGGATTCTGCAACTAAAACTGATGATAAAAGACAGAGAAAATAGAACCCTTCATAGTCATATGGAGGTTTCCTGAAATAGGGCTACCCCCAAACTATCCACATTTTAATGTTGTATTTTTCTATTTAATGGAAACCATCCAGCTTCTTTTCCCCCAGGAATCGAAAAATAGCCTTACCAAGGTTTCAACCCATCCCTAGGTGGAGGTCTTCATGGATCCAATGGATGTGTTTCTTTGTAGCTGGTATATCTTTTTAAGCCTATGACACCAGATTTGTCTGGGCGGCTGGGACGGGTAAAAAAAAAACAGTAGATATTAGTATAGATATGTAGTATATCACTTTATTATGTAGTATATCACTTTATCACATTTTATCACCATCAAAAACAAGAAGGACTCTGTGTGAATCTGTCATGCCACGTGGATTTCATCGTTTGCCAGGGGGGAACTTTTCAATGAATGATGGGGATAGGTGACCTCAGTCCGGCTTCGGTCCCCCACCCCTTCACCCTTGTTGAACCCATCAAAAAAAAACATCTCAAGACCATATACTGGTTGGTGGTATACCTACCCCTCTGAAAAATATGAGTTCGTCAGTTGGGATGATGAAATTCCCGATATATGGAAAATCAAAAAATTCATGTTCCAAAATGTTCCAAACAATCAACCAGAATTATCACAGTAGTTGTAGAAAACCATCATCATGAGTAATGTCATCAATTGTTTATGCTGGTTGGTGGTTGTTGCTTATCTGGTTGGTGGTTTCAACCCCTCTGAAAAATATTAGTCAATGGGAAGGAGTATCCCATATATTATGGAAAATAAAAAATGTTTGAAACCACCAGCCAGTTATGGTTCCAAACCACCAACCAGCATAAACCACCGTCCCGTCTCCCCCAACATCTCAACATGTCACTTGTCCACCAGCTGCCGTTGCTGCGTTGCAAGGCGATGGGCGAAGTCCTGGGCGATTTACGTGGCATCTGAACGAATCTGGAGATCCCAAAAAAAAATCCCATGAAATCACCATGAAATTACCATGTTTTTTGAACGGAACATGATTTCACCAGTCAATGTTGACGTCGAAAAAAAGGTTGCGGATATTTTGAACTTGATCAATGAACAGTTGGAATCAAAAAAACAAAACATGTGATATGATTTAACCAGCTAGGATGTAGTTAGACAAGTTATTTACCACTACATGCATGACCACTACTTTGCTTGGGTTTTACTCTTCTATCTTACCACTTTATCAAGTGGCAGTGGAATCTTCATGGCTTTGTTTGAAAATTGGCTACCTCATTCCATCCATTGCATCCCTATCAATTAAACCAGTAGATTTACGGGTCCCCAGTTTTCAAGGGGAACTATACCGTTGGTTGATCGTTTTTATGTGTATCCCTATAGTTACCCTCTGGTAAACTAACATAACTATGGAAAATCACCATTTATGATGGGAAAATAAACTATAAATGATCATGTTCAATAGCTATGTTAGTCATTACCAGAGGGTAAATGATATGAAATTGCCATATTTTTGGGGGCACCTATGGGCACCTAAAACCCCCAACCGAGCATCAATGGAGGTCAGAGGCTCGGGCCAGGCGTCCTGGGATTTTCTCCCGGGTTTCCGGTGATTTCCCCCATCGAAGACGATGGATGTTTCCCATCCATGGTGAGTTTCCCCATGGGAAAATGTGGTGAAGATAGACATTTCCATGGGTAGATATAGAAAAAATCACCATGCTATTAATGGGTAAATCAATAAATCAACTTCTATGGCCATTTGAAAATAGCAAACTGTGAATTTACCAGAGGGTAATCCAATGATATTTTGGGGAATCAACCCTGAGCTTGATGGGTACCACGATCCCATCAGGATCGGATAGCTGGTGTAAACCACCAGCCCAAGATCAATACCGGCCGGTGCCGGCCGGCTGCCGGGAAACAAAAATTGTATATTATGGATACACCTCAGCAGAACACCCATATTAATCCATATTATATATATATATATGTATATATATATATATATACTGTATACTATCGTATTATATGTTCATTTTAGTCACCATGGCTCGGAAATCCGCGCGACCTGCGCGCGCAAGATGCTTGCGATGCGACTGGCTCCCGGTGCCTGGCGGAATTTTCAGGGGAGGGTTCTCAAAATGGGGGATACCCCTACAGAAAACCATGGTTCTTTAATGGGATTACCATCTGGTTATGACTAACAGTTTGCCATGGAACGATCCACCCATTTGTTAATAGGTCAACCATCTATTTCGATTAGGGCCATGGCTTCCATGGCTATGTTAAATAACCAGAGGGTACATTACATAAACGAGAATTAACCAATCAACTTGATATGCTTTAGGTTTTTCTTTAGGTTGCAATTCGTGATTTGGCCATTTTTGTTGTCATGAGGATAATTATGGCAAAGCAGTAACTACCAAGAAGCAACTTGATATGATGGATGTGCCTCAAAATGGAGGGGATACCCTTAAAAAAAGTAATTAATGCTAATATCAATAGATCCCATATAATGGATATGTTTGAAAACCATGTTCTGGGGATTGTTTCATGGATTTAATGGAATTATTTCAACGGATATGTATATATAATAGCAGATTGAGCTACTAGCACCAAAAAAACTTGATTTGTGGCTGTGTCTCCCAAGTATAATCATGCTTTGCCGACCATCATTAGATTGGTTTCAAGGACAAGTCTAGAGGACATGAAAGGGAAACCATGTGAATGTTTTTTTTTTCTGGCAAATGCAGGGGTCTTGCCAGATAATTGATAGTGTATTGTTTTTCATGTTCATGATGAAAATACTGGATTTTATACATCTTCATCAACTCATCCAGTATTAACCATTGTGTTTTCTGTTTTTCTTTGAAGTAAATGTGGACTATGGGAATTCATAGCGTCACTC